GTGTATGTTTATCAGCCACAGATACTGATTCTGAGATTAAATTGGTTGATCCTTGAAGCATGTATAGGTTACCTTTCTTGATACCTCGTATAACAATAGTTGAACCCTTGCTGATTTCCATCACTCCACCTTCAACATTGCATTTGAAGCCTTTTGTATCCAGAAATCCAACTAAAATTAGATTCTTCTTCAAATTTGGTACATGTCTGACTTCAGTAAGAGTTTTTATCACACCATCATGCATCTTGATTTGAATTGTTCCAATACCAATCGTTTTGCATTCCATATCATTTCCCATGAAAACATCACCTCCATATTTCTTCTCATATGTTAAGAACCAGCTCCTATTAGGACACATATGATAAGAACAACCCGAGTCAAGTACCCATTATTTTGCAAAATGTTGATGATTGTCAAAAATGGACAGTACAAGCTCGTTTTCAAATGAGGAGCCTTCTTGGGCAGCAGCAACAACTGATTTCTGATTTCTTTTCTTTGGGCATTCTTTCTTCCAATGACCTGGTTCTTTGCAATAGTTACAAATGTCTCTTGGATTGACTTTAGTTTTCTTCTTCCCTTGTTCTTTCTTCTTCTTACCATTCTTGGTAGAATTAAAAACAAGTAGTCATGCTCCATTTACCCCCTTAGAGTTTGCAGATGCCTTGAATCGGAGCTCCCTCGAGTGCAGACATGATTTTACCTCTTTCATCATGATGCATTCCTTCCCGACACTAAGGGAATTTACAAAACTCTCATAGGAGGGTGGAAGTGAGGCTAACAGAATCATTGCTGCATCCTCATCTTCAATCTTGACATCTATGTCTCTCAGCTCCATCAAGATTGAATTCAGTTCATCCAAATGATCTTGTAGAGGTGTGTCTTCTTTCATGTGATGAACAAACAGTCTTCGCTTTAACAACAACTTGTTACAGATTGACTTTGTCATTTAAAGCTTTTCTAGCTTTAACCATAGTCCACTAGCCGTTTCTTGATCAGCTACCTCATAAAGAACTTCATCTGATAAGGACAGCAAAATCAATGAGTGAGCTTTCTCTTCTTCTTGTTCTGCAAGATCCTCCTTTTTCACAGAAGTTGGTTTCTCCTCTGATTTTGCAATGTTCTCCTTCTTCGCGGAAACAGAAACTAGAGGACCCCAAACTCTTTGTTCCTTTAGTAGAGCTCGCATCTTAATGCGCCAGAGATTGAAAATGTTCTTTCCATTAAACTTCTCAATCTTGATGGTGTTCGACATATTTCTTGAATGTTCTTTCACAGATGCAGTAGAAAATCACTCTGATGCTAGTTTGATGGAGTAGGTAGAAGCAATGGATGGCTTCTTGCTTCTTGTGACTTTCTACGAATGTGAAGACCTTTTCCTTGAGCTTGCCACAGTTCAAATCATGGAAGAAGATGATTGGAATGGTATAAGAATCCTTAAGCTAAGGATGGAATATTCCAAGCTAAAGATCCAAAGGAAAGCTCACTATCAAGTCTAGGAATGGAGGTTTTCCTAGCACTAGAATGGGTGAGGTTTCGGCGTCGACGATGGAGGTGCGTCGGAGCCGGAGTTCGTCGGAGCTGCACGCTGCACGCACGATAGCCAGAGAAGAAGAAAGGGAGAGACGAAAGGAGGGGTTTGGTTTGGATGAGTCTGAAATCGCGAGAGGGAAAGGGAGGATTAGGGCAAAAAAACCCCATTGAAAAGACCGACTTACCCTTAATGTATATATATATATATATATACACACACACCCAATACACACACACACAAGACATATAAAAGCACTCTAGGCACATTTTAACATAAAGAAACATGAAAATGAAATCATTCATAAATATATAGTAGCATATAAGCTTCAGTACAGACAAATATATAAATAATAACAATCACAAAGGCCAAATAAAGTGGCTGCACAATTAAGTAACTGTGCCTCCAAAAGAACCATTGTTGTTGCTGCATAAATGCATATAACAGTGGCTATTTGCTGCTCTGATTCAGCAATATAGCCACCCAAAAAAATATTAGTGTTGTTGCTGCATAAACTCAGCAAACACTGGTGCTGCTGCCACACAAATTCAGTCATACAACCTCAAAAAATAAACACAAAATGCCCCTATCCAAGATCATTCATCATCCCCAACCCCAAGATCTACATCACTCAAGTCATCTTCATCTTCCAAAATCAAAATTTCTCCCCCACCATCATCTTCAATTTCATCCTCATCTTCTATTTTTTATTTTATTTTTTATTTTCTCTTCTTATCAGTCTTGGCCTTCAAGTTTCTTGGACCTATATAATCAAAAGAAAATATTAAAGTCTAGCTCTAATTCCAACTTCCAAGTTCTAAACTAACTTCTAAATATAAATAATTACCTTTCTTCCTTTTCTTGTTTGGAATCCCTCGTCAACACCAAAGCACTCATGTACATCCATCCATAAGGCATCAATAGGCAAGCAAGGATTCTCCTTTTCGGTGATCCATTCATCATCAGATTCAATATTCGACAAGAAGATGAGATCATAGGTAACCCCATTCTATTCTCTACTATTTTGCCTCATCTCAAGTTGAAGATTATATTTGACATATACAAGTGCATTTAATCTTTGTTGCTCCAATTGATTTATTGTCTTATTATGCACTTGGTCAAATGTACTCCAATTCCTCTTACATCTTGTGGCACTATGTGAGACTCAAAATTCCCATGGCCACCTTTTGTAACTCTTTACCGCTTCCACCATAACTCTCCCACCAAAGAGCTATCAAAACCAAAAAAGTGTAGTTAGTTTACAAAGTTAGTTATTATTAATTATTGTCTTTATGGTAATTATAAACAGTAAAAATTAAAGGGATACCCAATGTTTCTTATCTCTAGTAGCTATTGCCATGTTCAATCCAAACATCTCCTTAGCCCCACTGAACTTTTCTAGTTGTTGTTCCATTATAACTTTCGTCCTTGTATCTGGAACCATTCTTTGAAAAGTTTCATATAAACCAATCAACACCTCACTATCCTGATTGAAGTTCTTGTCATATGATATCTAACCAAATAGAAATAAATAAGCTACTAGACACAAATAAAATAGTAGTACTTAAAATGAAAGTTAGTTTTAAATAACTTACTTAGGATTGAGATAATAGGCAGCTGCATGAAGATGCCTATGAAGTTGCAAATTCCTCCTACTATCAATAATCTTCCACACTATTTTATATCTTGATTCTTGCATTTGAAAATTTTCAGCAATTTTCTCTTTAGCCCTGTCCATTGCTTCATAAAAATATGGCATGACTAGTTTCGAATCACCATCTACAAGCCTTAACACTTTTACGAGTAGAATCACACACTTTTGGAAATTTGTGATTGATATCCAAAATCTATCATCACTTAGCACTAGGTTTATAACTTGCTTAACCTCACTTTTACTACCATGTGGACTAGTAGCCCATTCCTCCGATGCAAACATAGATCTAAGAGCATTCTTTTGTTGTTTAATGCAATTTAGTGTAAGATAAGAAGTTGCAAATGTCACAGCCAGTCTTGCCAATTCCCTTCCCTTGGAATATTTTCTATACAAATTAAGGACCCATGTAAGCCTATATATGTTGGTAGTAATCTTATTTGCATTGGCAATGGTATTATATAATATTGGAAGCTCTACAATGTCCTCAAGGACTGGATCAAGGCAATGGGCTGCACATGGAGACCAAAATAATTTGGTTCTCTTCTCCATTAACAATTGTCCAGCTGCCACAAGATTAGAAGCCCTGTTTGTCACAACTTGGACTACTTGCTCCTCCCCAAATTCTTTGAAAATGCTGTCCAACAATTCAAACATTTTTTTCCCATCCTTTATCACGTCACTAGTATCAATGATTTAAATAAAAAAGTCCCACTTGGACTATTAGCAAGAAAATTAGTGAGTGATCTTCCTTTCCCATCAGTCCAACCATCACCCATCAAGGTGCATCTCCATTTCTCCCAATCACTTGTATATTTCTCTAGAATTTGTTGGATGTTGTCTACCGCTTTCTTCAAAAAAGAAACCCTCACCTCATGATAAGTTGGTGGCTTCAAACCTCTTCCATATTCTCCCACAACCTTTGACATTGGAGTAAGAGGACTCCTTACTAAATTAAATGGTAATGCATTACCATAGATGCATTTTCAAATTGTGTTGCGCATGACCCGACCTAGTGTGGGGGCACAACCTTCCGTTCCAAATTGTGCGGTACTGTTCTGAATTGCGATTTTTCTGATTCAAGCCATGATACATATGATTTGCATACGATTTTTGAACAAAAACAAGACAACGTGCATTTCAAATTGCTGGTCCTCAGAATCGTATCGCATCGTACGATATGAATTAATTTTGTGGGATACTTACTACCATGTTTTTGAGATCAATTAAGAAAAGAAAACCATTATTTTTTTTATGCATAATTATATTTTTATATGATTCTCTTTTCTATTTCTAAGCAATAAGTAATACAAATATGACATTTGAATAATTTTGTCCTGGACTCTGTTTAATTATGAAAACAAAGCATCTTTTCTTTTAGAAGAAAAAAAATCACAATAGAAGTAAACAAAGATGTTATATCCTTTTAAAAAATGAGGCATATACTGGTTTTGGTGGATGTGTTGTCTATGCTTTGTCAGAACTGATTATCATGTTTCAAATGCATTGCTTAATCTTAGAATTCTTTTACCATGATAATCTTTGATATCTTTGGTATATTTTTTGCTAAACATGGAAGTTTTCTTGAAATCAATTACCATTTTAAATACCCTTTTAATAAAGAGCTCAATTGGATTGAAAAAATGTTCCAATGAAATTTAGAATTTTAACAAGCACAATTCGAAGTGGAGGTAGAAAAATAGAGAGGGTCTTTTATTTTTGGAGATGTGTGTCCATCTGCTGTGTCATACAGTTTTCATTTCATGTTCATTGTGAATTATAATTGCTAAAAGTGATTAATGGACATGAAAAGAATGCATATGGATGTCATAACATGTTCCAGCAGGTTATAATGTAAAGGCAGGTATGACTGAAAATTCAATTTAAAGTTTCAAATCTCAGAATGTTGTGGTTTGTCGTGCTTTCTGTTGGTGCAGGTGTATCTCAATGAATTCTCGTTTCATATTCAGCATGCTTCAGGTTAGAATCAACTCAACTCTTTTGTGGTTAATTCCTTTTGTGTTATGGTCAAACTTGATGTTGGTATAATAAACATTGTAGGCATTCGAACCTCCACTAGATATGAGCCAGGACGTAGAATTTAGTGAAGATCCACATCCTGAATTGGCTCAAAAAGATCATTTAGATTCTGAAGGGATTAATGCCTATTCATGTGAGTCAGCCCCTCTGAGAATAACATGTTCTGTAGCTGATCAACATGGTTGTGTGGAAGGTAGCAATCATGCATGCAGATCACATGCACTGGCACATCCCAATGAGGTTTCTGCGGCATTTATGATTCCATGATCCTTTTTATTCCAGTAGATATTAGATAAGAACTATGGTGTTTCATTGGTTCTATCATTGTATTTTTCATTTAGAAATTTGACTCTGTAGATAACAACAGGAGGTGGATGTTGAGAGTTGCCACCAGTCAAATACTGGGAGCCATTCTCCAAGCTTGATACATACTAAAGAGACTAGTGAATGTTTTGGAGGTCCTATTTCTGGTTCCAATGGCAATGTAATTCCTAGTCAGTTTTAATGTTGTAATTTTTAAATTTTTAGAATCACCATCTAAGTGGTTTGTTTGTTGTGCAAATAACTTGAGGTTAATTGATGCTAATGCTATGATATTTTTGAAAAAAATCTTCATACATTTCAAAGTAACAGAGTAAAACCAAAACTTCATATGTTGACACTTCTCTTTCACCGTACAAACCTTCTCTCTCTCAGATATATCTCTGCAAAATCAAAAGTATATGCATAACAATTAAGTCAATGACAACTGAGTCATGTTGCCTGTAGACAGTAATAACTAGCTTTCAATTCTCATTTGATTCATCTGTCATTTTCTTGTACTTTATGGGAAATGTAAGTACAAGGTATAATTCTGGATGGACATTTGAATTGTAAAGAAAGAATTCATTCAGTGTCCTTTTAGTGTGTTAATTCTATGTCAATTTCAAATTTCATGGCAATCCATAGATTTGTAGATTGTCTTCTAATAGAAATAATATTTTGTATATACTAAAAATGTTTTTTTCATCCATATTTGTCTACACCCCTTTTTGACATCTTTATTTCAGGTGCCGGACGCCTCATCACAGCAACAATGGCTGGATCCATCTCTTCAATTGAATGTTCCATTAGTTGATGTAGATAAGGTATATTTATGTTTCCAGCGTCATTCTTTTCAATTGTTACTTGTTCCAATGCAGGATAATGAAAGGGTTTGGGTTTTAAAGGGTAGAGGTTTTCTTGGATCAATCAATAGTACAACATAGATGGTGGTTGGACAACACCTATGAATTTATAGTATGGGGTTTGAGGGATTTTGGGTCATTTTCTTGAATAAATCCTTAATGTTGCCCATAATAAATCCTAATTTGGGCCATAGTAGTCAATCCCGGATAGCGGCGCGGAGCGGCCGACCCTCAAGCATAACCTAGAAGGAAATCCTAAAAATGTAATAACACTAAGACTAATACAATGGAAAAAATGATTTTTAAAAACTACAACATCTTGCCTAAAGTACCCTAAATGGTGTCCTAGGCATGCCCTAAAAAACAATACTAGAAGAAAACTTCCTAAATAATTTTGAAGCATATTGTTTGGTAGATAAAAAGATAGTGTCTTGTGAAATCCTGAAAACTCATAAACTGTTTTTGTCTTGTAGGGAAGGAGGCAAATTAAGTTCAAATGAAGATGAACTTCCCGTAAGATCAAAAATAGAATATGAACTATGACAAGATGTATCTATCAAACAATATACCCCAAAATTTGGGTGCTTTATTAGTACAACTAAAGTAGAAGGAGTCCTAAAGAGAGGAAGGTTATCTTCCTTGGGCACCTCCAAGGAAGTAGCACAAGAAGTAGGACTAAGTGTAGTCCACTCCTTCTTCACTACATCTTGAAGTTGAGATTCATTTTTCTTTAAAATATTTTGTTTTAGAATCTCCACTTCATGACTAGTGGTAGCATAAGGGTAAGAGTTAAGGTTTTTATGTATGAAGAGAGTATTTTGCAAATGGTTTTTAGAACAACTCTCTTCACTCACAAGTCCTTTAGAGGAAATGTTTTCCTCCTTACTCTTCCCTAAGAGAAATGCCTTTTTTCTTTCTTTTTCTCTTGTTTTTCTCAATTTTTCTTTGGCTAAAAGTTTTTCTTCCTTTTGTTTAAGAATGTGAATTTCTTCCTCTAAAATTGCAAGTTGTGCTTCTCTTTCAAGTTTTTCTTTTTCTCTTTTTAACACTTCTTGCTTTGTCCAAGGTGTTAGTGATTTAAGCCTTTGAGTAGGATGTGAAAAACTTTTTGGAGAGCTTGAATCACTACCACTTGAGGAATATTTTCTCATGATTAAACAAAAAAAAGAATTTTTATATGCTATGCAAAAAGAAAATATTTTTGGTCTTTTCTAGGAACAAGACTAACACTTGGAAGTCTAAGTGTACAAATTGCACTATCAAGGGAGGTGAGCTACTAAGAGCCACTTAATAACCAAGCCTTTTCAAGTGGAAATCACTAAACTTCCTTGTGATATTCTCAATTCCACAAAATTTTTCACAAAATTTTTTTTAATGTTGGATGATTTTCTCAAGTGTTTTTGATTACAACTAAACGTGAACAATTTAAATTCTACACATGCTAGTCGAATTAATAAAGCAAAGTAAACAAACTAAGAACAAACAAATCAAAGGAAACAATATTAAGCAACTAGTCGGATTTTCCCTAAGTGGAAGCTTGAAACATATGAAATTTCCAAGCCACTTCCACTAGTACTACACGTGAGTGACTATAAGGGATTAGATATACCTGACCAGCTTCTTAATACTCCCTCCAAGCTATTACAAATTGATTGAATTTACAAGAAGAATGCAAGAAATTAAACTAGTCCAAAAAACAAAGTTGTGACGGTTTTGTGACCACTTTAGTGACGGATTTTCAGCCACATTTTTCCATCACTTGTTTGAATGCTTTAATCCACCTCCAACCTTGGTCCTTTGATGCTCCTTGAACCTGCACAATGAACACAACAAATAGGTGAAAGAAGGTTGCTCACAAGATGAAAGGATTGATCACTCTTGTGAAGGTAGTTTTAGGAGTTTTAGGTCACCAAATTTAGGTCAAATTTTAAGGTCCTTGTTTCAAAACTCCTTTCCTATCCTTGTTGAGTCAATGTTTGGTTCTTTAGAAAGGATTTGATGCCACTTCCAGCACAGAATTTTATTCAAGGAAAACTTAGACAAGCAACAAAAGCACAATTTAGAAAGCTTATACCAAAATTGAAGAGTTAAGTGTTTATGACAAGACTCAAAGAAAACCAAGAATTAAAACTGAAAATTAAGACTCCAAAGAAGGCTAGCACACAATTAAGAACATTCCTAGATAGGCACTAGAGTAGATTAACAAAACTAAAAAAATTTGGAAGCAATTTAGAAAAGTGAAAGCAAACTAGTAGACCAATTACTTTGTGAAATAAAGTGTATTTTCTTCTAATCGTTCTTCTCGGCTTTTCTTGCTATATTTTTTTTATATATTTTTTTTTAAATTCAATAAAATTTTGAAATGTTTCTCCAATGGATCTTCACGGCTTTGTAAGGTGCAGCAGCCACAAAAATTTCCAGCAACTTGAAGTGTTTAGTGATTGATTGGGTAGCCCACCGAGAAGATCTCCTTTGTCACCTTTCCTCCTCCTGATCTTAGTCCTCTTTTGATGACCCTTGTAGAACTAGTTTCTATTGAGATAGATTAGGTCAACACTAGGCCACACTTTGAATTCAATGTTACACAGACAGTCAAGACAATATAGAGATAACCAAGACAAGAGTAGAATAGAAGAGTAGACAATTTAGATTAACAAAGAGATTGATTAGGCTAGTACAAGAAGGAAGGATCCTAGATAGGTTCTAGAATTTGAATGACAAATCAAAAACACTCAACAATTTTCAAGCTGAAAAATGTGTATTACTCCAAGCTACACAATTAGCAATCCGAGAAGCATAAACCAAAACAAAACAATCTTCTTTTTGGCTTTTAACTTGAAAATTAGGTTTACTATTTTTTTTAATCAATTTTCTTTTTGAATTTTCTTTTGAACTTTTTATTTGATTTTTTTTTATATAGGAGATGCCATTTATCTTCTTTTGAATTTTGAACACAAAGCTCTCGGTCACCACTTAAAAGGAAATGCACTAAAACCAAATTTGAATTGTGAATACAAATGCAACCAAAATTAGGTCTAAATGTAATGAGCTTTGGACATGCTTTACTTGTTTCCTTTAATCACATGCCATGGTTTTAGCATTTCAAATTTTGAATTTCAAATTTTCTAAACAAAATTTTTCAGCAACCAAATGATATTCAAAATCAAACTCACGGAATTGGCACAAAATTTTGAAGACACTTTGTATCAAAGGAAACCTAAAAACTAAGAAAACTACTAATGATCTAATAGTAGTTTATGAACTCAAATCAAAACCAAAAGTATGGAGCACACTAAACCAAATTGATTCGGCCAAATCCAGAAAAATTCAAAAACAATTAACACAAAAGAGTGAAACAAGCATATCTAGGAATTAAAAACAATCAAATAACTACACATGACACTAGACATAGGATTCAAAAATTAAAAGACTCAAAGACACATATGACCGAAAATTTTCAATTAAGACTCAAGAAAATAAAAGTTCATAAGCTGAATTTTCCTAGAAGCATAATTTGTGGAGCATGATTCATGGAAAGCAATTAAATTAAGAAGCATATATGAATCATTCAAGCAATCTGAAAGCTAGATCCATCAAATTTTAGGCAAAAATTAGATCTAGGAAGGAATCAACTCAAAAATGACATAGACACAAATATTTCGTACGGATCAAACAATCAACCAAAAGATAAAGAACTTATCTCTTGAAGACAGAGCTCTAGATACCACTTGATTGAGTAGGTAGAAGCAATGGATGGCTTCTTGCTTCTTGTGACCTTCTCCGAATGTGAAGACCTTTTCCTTGAGCTTGCCACGGTTCAAATGATGGAAGAAGATGATTGGAATGGTAGAAGAATCCCTAAGCTAAGGATGGAAGCATCCAAGCTAAAGATCCAAAGGAAAGCTCACTATCAAGTCTAGGAATGGAGGTTTTCCTAGAACTAGAATGGGTGAGGTTTCAGTGACTCTTAGAGAGAATTTGGCTGAAGTAAAATTCAGAATTCTCATTCATTCAAAAGTGAATACAAGTTATGAAGGATCATGCATATATAGGCTCAGCTAGGGAAGCATTTGGTGCCAAGATTCAAACACCACATGTGGCGCCAAGATTTGAATTCAAATTTGAAATTTGAATTCAAATCTTCACTCCCATGTGCAAGTCCGTGAATCTAGGTGCCCTCATGCATCTTAATTTGATTTAGGAAGCATTTAGGGTTGATTTGGCTAAGCACATGTTCAGCCACAAGTGGCACCATCCATGTGATCCCAAATTCAACTTTAATGCCTTCTAAATTAAATCTAGTTTAGCTTGATGAACCTATTTAAGTAATCCCTCAATAATCCTAATCTAATGGCCTAAATACAATGGCCAAGCAAATACAATGGAAAGTAAAAATTACAAGAATGAAAATGAGCCCATTATTGGGTACCAAAAGCGCAAAGGCCCATGAAGCCCAAAACTAGGCTCAATAAGCCTATAGCCTAAAATGTTATCCTAGATGGTCCAAAATACAAAACCCAAAATATAGAAAACCTATACTAACATGATATATACAAGACATAAGAAAAATAACTAAAACAAGATATGGCCCATGAGAAGCTCATCTTGGGCCTTCCAAGCCCATCGGGCCCATTGGGCCTTGACTGGCCCAAACCTTCATGTCTAGCCCATTCCTCTTGGCTCTTTCAATATGTCACCCCTTGACTTCCTAGGCATGATTCCATCACAGTTTGTTGTAACTGTAAAGAGTAAAAGAACAAACATGCAAGAATAAAGAACTGGAAAAAAAAAACCAATTGAAAAGAAAAATAGAAAAAGGATGAGAAAGGAAGAATCACACCAAGAGATTTAACGTGGTTCACCCTTGATCGAAATTAGGCTGCATCCACGGGGTCAACAGATTAGTCTTTATTTCAATAGTATCAAGTTAAGTGTCAAATTACAAAATGCAAGGCCTCCTTATATATATATAAGGAACCCAGACCCGAAAGAGATATCTAACAAACCAAAAAACAAGTATCCTAAGGAAGTAGGATAGGCTCAAAAAGCAATCTTTCAACAGGTAGTATAGGAGTTCATATTGTTTGGTCTTGTATTATGGGCCTTAGTATAGGACTTTTTGGGTTTTAGGCTTATTAGGCCTAATTTTGGGCTTCATGGGCCTTTGGACTTTTGGTACCCAATATTGGGCTCATTTTAATTCTAGTAATTTTCCCTTTACTTTGTATTTGATTGGCCAATGTATTTAGGCCATTAGATTAGGATTATGCAAGGAATTCATTAATAGGTACATTAGGCTTAATCCAAATTTCATTTAGAAGTCATTTGGTTTGAATTTGGGTCACATGGTTTAGGCATGGTGGAGGATGAACATGTGCGCACCAAATTCACTTCAAATCACCTCTAAATGAAACTTAGATGAAGCTAGAAGCATCGATCTTGGATTAGCACATGGCTAACCAAATTTTGAATTTCAAATCCAATTTGAAATTCAAAATTTGGCGCCAATGATGCTAGTGTGAGATTGGCGCCAATAGAAAGTCTTCCGCACCTATATAAGGATCTCCTTGTGCACCTTGCAGTCACTTTGAGCATATATGAGAATTTCTGAAATTGAGTTCAGCCAATTCTCTCCAAAGTCACCGGAAGCACTTGGCCTTAGCCTTAGGAAAATCACCTCCTCCTAAAGCTTGTCTGTGATCTTTCCTTTATTCCTCTTGCTTGGATGCTTCCACTCCTAGCTTTGGGAAAACTTCTTTCTTCTTGTTCATCTCTTCAAGAGTTGCTCCGAAATTATCCTCAAGAAGAAGATCCGTGGAAATTGGTGAAGGCTAAAGAAGCAAGTTCATCCACTTATCCAACCTTCTCCATCACTTGTCAATTCCTCATCAATTAAGAAATACACAGTTAAATGTGTTTAGGGTTTAGGGTTTAAGGTTTATGTTGATTTGTGATAATAATCATTCATCTTAAAGGCGACCAAACATTTCAGCATGGGTTATCCATGGAGAGTTATAATGGTAAAAAGTTATAACTAAAAATTTAATGCACTATGTCTCTTTATCAATGTAATATGAATTTTAATGTTATGCATTTTTACTTTTAATGCACTATGTTGCTTATAAACTATTATAATTATACATTATTTGGACATGTCTTCCTAGTATGATGTGCAAGTTATCTAGACTTGTCATTATTAGCCAATAATCTTCATGTCAGAGCTTGTATTGTAGTAGTCGTAGCCCAGATAGGAAATAGATGGAATTGATCATGTATCATTTCATGTATTCTCGTGTGTGAAATAATGAGCCTTGCATTAGATGACCCATCAATGTGTGTTCACGTCTGTTGTTCCACATGTCGACCCATCTAGCCAGAACAGCCCGTTCCGAATTTAGAACGACCCGTTCTGGTTCAACTGGTTATGTGTTATTTTTGAATATGGAACGGGTCGTTCTAGATCTGGAACGGGCCGTTCTGGTCCATTCTTCATGTGTTATTTTTTCATCTGGAACGGGTCGTTCTGATCCATTCGTCATGTATTTTTTTTTTATCTAGAACGACCTGTTCTGAATGTGAACACTAAAGAGTGGAAGTTGCATAAATAAATTGGAACAAATACTTTTTGGGTAAATTTAAAAAAAAAATATTTCAGTAAAAAATTCGGAGACTTTGACCTTGTGTAATAGGGTGTATAATAAGATAATAGGTTGGATGCATCTAATGGTAAATAAAAGTGATGCACCATACACCACTTGCATTAATGGTGCATCGGAGACTTCACCGTAAAAAATAACGTGACTGAAATATCACATGAAAGATTTTAGAAATTACACAACCCATAACTAAAATCAGTTATTCATTCATTCATATATATTATGAGAGATGAGAGAGTTAAAATATAACCTTTAGATTAATCAAGTGAGAGAAAATTTGAGATTTAATCAAGTGAGAAGAAATTAATCTAAAGGTTATATTTTAACCCTCTCATCTCTCATAATAAATTCTCTCTCAGTTGATATGCTCCCTATATACATATATATATATATATATATATATATATATATTCTAGAATTTAATAATTGAAGATAAGAACATTTACACATTCAGACTATCTCTTGATACAACACGCAATCTTGGATGTTTTGTAATTGGATTTGCTTTCAGGCCTGAAAATCATGTCAGTTTTTCCATTCAATACATAATTTCTTTTCTTCATTTTAGATTTTAACGTTGAATAGGCACGTTTTTGCCTCAGTGACGCATATCCAAGCACGTAACGAGTCTAAAATGCTATCGAAAACTATCAAAAGGAATGGACCACAGAGAACTTGTACAGAAAGAAAGAAAGAATAAATTTTAAAAGCAGAGCCTATATGAAACGTCGACATACTGTCTTAAGTGGTTGGAAGTGAAACTTTAGGTCTCTCCGAATTCTAGTTCTCGATCGTACACAAGCCCATAAAAACACGTGGTGAAGTCGTTCAAAAAGAAAGAACAAATTTAAAAACAATAGTAAATAAAAACACGTTGGCGTTATCGCATCATAATTAAAATTATTATCTATTTTTAAAATAATTGCTTTAAGGATATAAACACTCATCATAAAATTTAGTTATTATATAGTAATTAATTAAAGTCTTTTAGTTTGAATGAGCCGATGGAATTTGATCACGTGAAAGATGATGAAAGAATGAGAAGACATAATGTTAACACAAAGAAAGCAAAATTTCCAATTAGGGTAATTTGCGCTTGAAAAGGGGAAGCAAAGGTAGCTGCCATTGAATAGAAGCCACGTGAAAATACAGAACGAGTTACCGTGACATTAATTGGTTTTCAATACGCTGGTACGCAACCAATGAGTGCTACAAAGGCCATTAAAAAAAAGTTTATAGCATGTGTAACTCATTTCCCACGAGCTCATTCATTCAAGTGTCCCTAGATATTTTATCCTCTTATCCCTTTTATCTTTTTCTTTCTTTCTCCAATCGCCTATATATTACACCCCTTCAAATCTATGAACGTCTCATTCTCTATCACTAATCAAATTCCTGTCTTCTTTTTCTTCAAATTAATTGCAAATGATATGTAATGTAATTTCCCATTGTTTCTTCAATTTGGATCAATTACAAACATAGCAAGTTGATTAAAAATTGGCATTATCGATCATGAAGCGAAACTGCTATTTGGATCTTCGTTTTCGCCCTTCATCTGCGTCCCAACCCCATCATTCAATGTAAGCAATTTCATAGTTTTAATATATCTTTTTTGAAATGTTATATGTCAAATGTAGTTTACTTTTGGATTAATTTGTCGTAAGCCTTTTGTTTTTTCTTCTTTGTCTAAGAATTTCGTAGGAATGAGCCATTGAACATGAACAGAAAAGTTGTTGCCATTCCGAATAGTAGTCGCCACATGCTTGATGTCACAGAACTTCAGGTAATGTGAATTGTGCCAAATTCAATCTCTGACGATTTCTTCACCTTTTTTCGGAAATAGAACTTTGACAATTTCAATATAATAAATTGGGGTTTGATATTTTTCTTTATTTAATTAAAAGGAAAGCTTTATTTCCGATTTTTATAGGTGTGTTTGAGAATCATTTGAGTTAAACTCAATTGAAGTTAAAAGAAAAGGTTACCCTCATTGTCTTTTACTTTTCTTATATACAAATGTGTATTTTTTTTTTTTTATTAAAAGTGATTTTAAACGGGTACGTTGTTGATAATTAAAATCAATGTCAATGCACAAGTACGTCCCTTAAATATGCTAAACTTCTTCGGATAACTAATCAAGGCAACTCAGCAGAATAACTTTTTAATTAAAAATGAAAAAAGAAAATGCATTGGTTCGTAGCTTTGGTCACAAGATTGGATTGAAAAATGTTTTGTACGAAAAGGGAACAATAGCATGTGATGTAGTACCTTTGGTTGAAATTGTATGCAGGCAAGAGTGATAATATGGTTGGCAAGTCAAGAAAGGGTAGGAAACACGGGACCAAGTTCAGCCACGTCACATTATTTGCAATCTCAAGCTTTATTAATGCATGCCCCACAAGGTTTTACAATAAAGAAGTCCCTTCGGAATTTCCTTCAGAAGAGAAAAAAAAGGTCTCAGAAGTCACATGCCCATTGCATATCGGAATATAGCACAACTTAGTCAACAGGAGTCAACGACATGAGTTTTTTCACATCAATTTTTATTACAATTCATTTTTATTACACCCAACTAGAAATAATCTATTTTCTTCTTTCTCATCTCTCTATATTTTGTATATTGGGGTGTAACAAAAGTGTAAATTAAAATTGAAAGTGACAAAATATTTTCTCGTCAAATTGTATCCTTTGCGAGACCAATGAAAAATATATACCTGTAGTACGTATTAATTTTCTCCTAATGCTCTTTACTCGTATGAATGAAAAGGGACATTTTCAGTCCACTACAATACTTAACATAAACTATTAGTTCAGATTTGCATATACAAGCAAAATGTAGATTAACTGGTTGGATTTAACATGACACTAATGAAAGGGAAGAAAAAAAAACTCCATGACTTGAGACAATAGGAATGTGGATGATGAATTTGAGAATCAGTACACAAATATGCATGGTGCTGTCGCGAATGAAACAAGTTAAAAAAAAAAAAGTGAAATACAAATACACAAGGCTCGATTGGTTGGTGTTCATTTAACAAGTCAATGTTAATCTCTACAAATTGATTAGATAAAAAAAAAAAGTAAAAGCTTCTATAAATAGACATTTTGTCCCTTTTGAAATCGAATAGAGAAATGATAGAATTTGAAGAAGAGAGATAAAGAGAATTGTAATATTTATATTTTTATCGATTAATATTTTAATTACATGTCGACAATATATACACACATTATAGGAGTTATAGTGATGCATTTCTTATACACACTAATAAATTTTGACAATTAAGCTATTCTATATTATTTTATTTAGGAGGATGCATTTCTCATATAAATACTAACAAATTTTGAAAACTTACCTATTGTAGAGTATTCTGTTTAGGAAAGGTGACACTAGCCATCGATGAACACAAAGAAAGTTGCTATATCATTGTCGTGTAATAACATACATATAATTTATTGGCTAAAACACTAATTTGGTCCCTTATATTAACATACATGGAGATTCCACCTGGAGGGAATAAGGTTTGCAGACTAAAAAAGGCCCTGTATGGACCCAAACAGTCTCCCCATGCTTAGTTTGGAAGGTTCACTTAGGCTATGGTAACCTTGGGATACAGGCAAAGTCAAGATGACCATACTCTCTTTATAAAACATGCTCAAGATGGAAAACTTACACTACTTTTGGTATATGTAGATGATATAATTATTGCAAGAGATATGAGCTTGAAAACAGATTCTAAGGGAGAGTTTGGCTGCTTGATTTGAAAGGAAGGATTTAGGGAAGCTAAAGTATTTTCTTGAGATTGAAACTACCTACTAAATTGCTAGAAGAAATTATAAGACAACAACTAAAGAACTGTGGAAACTCTGAATTATACTGTTTGACACTGTACAGTCAATCAGTGCTCTAATTTAGGAAGTAGATTAAGATCTATAATGTCTGTAATAAATACAGCATAAAGAATAAATTTACACAGTTTTAGGTTGATAAGTCACACAATTCTGTCCATATTAGCTCTATTGCACAAAAGAAAGAAAGCAGGATTCAACCAGTCTCATTCCCTGAGTGTCAATAACCAGCCATATTGAAATTTGGACTGAATCAAAACCAAGTGGCAACCCATCCAAGAAGGGATCCATCAAGTGTTTGTCTTGTTGTTTCTCTTTTACATACATATTGTTGTGTGATATAATTAGGGGATATTTCTTCCTTAATTAGTGCTGTTTTATTTTTAAAACAGATTTGACTCGTAAAGCTTTAATTCCCTTTGTTATTTCCTTAATTTGGCAATAGGAAGTCTACATATGCGTACTGGGGCTCCCAATCAATTAGAATGAGAATAATATTCAGTTTCTTTTTCAAGTTGGTATCAGGCCTCCCAATCCTGGGGCTCTTCTTCTACATTTAACTGTCTAAAGTGCCGCCCTTCTTGGCAGCCTTCATTGATGCAATTATTCATTTTTCGTGCCCAGTCACCACTGCTGCTGTCCATCCGCAGTTCGCACCACTGCTACCCCAAACTGGTGGTAAAAATGAATACAATAAGGAACATTCTTTCCTCAGAAGCACACTTTGTTTGGGAGATGCATCAATTTGATGTTAAAAATGCATCCTTACATGGAAGCTTGGAGGAGGAATCATACATGGAGATTCCACCTGGAGGGAATAAGGTTTGCAGACTAAAAAAGGCCCTGTATGGACCCAAACAGTCTCCCCATGCTTAGTTTGGAAGGTTCACTTAGGCTATGGTAACCTTGGGATACAGGCAAAGTCAAGATGACCATACTCTCTTTATAAAACATGCTCAAGATGGAAAACTTACACTACTTTTGGTATATGTAGATGATATAATTATTGCAAGAGATATGAGCTTGAAAACAGATTCTAAGGGAGAGTTTGGCTGCTTGATTTGAAAGGAAGGATTTAGGGAAGCTAAAGTATTTTCTTGAGATTGAAACTACCTACTCAAAGCAAGGTATCTTTATCTCTCAAAGGAAACATATCCTTGATATCCTCAAAGTAAGATGGGTTGTAAGACTCCTGGAGCGCCCATAGAGAAAAATCACAAGATTGGGAATGATGTGGAGAACCCAAAGGTGGAGAAGGCTCAACTATTCATCCCACACAAGGCCTAACATAGCATATGCAATTAGTGTGGTTAGTTAATTCATGCATGATCCTAGACTAGAGACAAGCTCAACAAACTCTAACCATGCAGTCTAAATTAGCCAAAGAAAACAATTAATATAAGGGACCAAATTAGTGTTTTAGCCTAATTTATTTATTTGATTCACTACTACTACACTAATAGCTTGGCACAAACTCAAGGTAGGTTAGAACTTAAACACACTTTGAGTTTGATCTTCAAAGTAGAAAATTATAAGTAGATAAGGTCAGGTCCTTGTAAGAGCATATGTAATTTGGGTAATAGTAGCACTACAAAAATGTGTGAAATTAGTGTTGGTGACATAGCATCGGCCATAGGCCCGACGCATATAGAGTCGATTAAACCAACTTTAGACGAACAATAAATTGAATATGTATAATATTTTGTTATAATTTTTTTTTATTTACACTGGTATAAGTAGACACTAAATAATGATTTTTATTTTAATATTTATTATAATAGAGTTAAGTATTAGTTTAGCTAACACTATTGTTTTAAAAAATTTAAAATAGTTACAGGAAAATCATTAGTCAATGAGTTTTGTTTCAAAAAATAATTAATAAAAAAGTTAACGTCTGTCTAGTCGATGCTAAGAATTTAAAATAAAACAATACAACTAATTAATATACAGGAACTCAAAACTCACTGAAATGAAAGTCACTAAAAGCACAATTCGAAGTCTTGTGGTCTACTAAAATGAAAGTCACTAAAATCATCGTCCAAGTCTTGCAGTCTCACCATCTGAAAATTAGCTCTTGAACCCAAGTCTCGTGGTCTCACCATCCGAATATTAGCTCTGGAATTGTAAGTTATGCCTCACGCCCCATTCTACACTCATTGAACCCTAAGTTGAGCTTCACGCCTCTTTTCCAAAAGGAGTGACTCGTGAAACCCTAAAGCAAGATGATTTGAAACCCTACACTAACAATCTTCGTCACTCTTCCCAACAACATTCATCACTTCAATTGTTCCTAATTGAGGCTCAAACTCTTTTCCTTGAACAAAACCCTATTATTTTCCCAAAACTCCACGTTCGACAGAAAAGGTATGTATCACTTTCTCTCTAATTTTCCAAAACCCTACTAGTTTCCCAAAACCCCTAGTTGTTTGTTGAGTTGCTCTTATCTTTTTTTTTAATCTATGTATTGGATTCTAAACTATGTTGGTTTCATGGGGGGCTGGGGGTTGGGGTCAAGGGACAAAGGAATGACCAAATCGATTTGTGTTTGTAAGTTGTAGAACTTTTTTTTGCTTTCATTTTTTGTTGTTGAGAGAGGGCATTACTAATTGGCTATTTAGATTTAAATAGGGAAGTTGCCATGTGTGGTTGAGTGGCTGAAACACATATTTATAAATGGGAGACATAGGTTGTCTGGGTGGTGTTTTAGATTCTAATATAAAATGAAAATGAGTAAAAATCTGAAGTTTTAAATGAAAATGAGTGAAGTTTGAATTTTGTCACCCTGTTCCACCCTTTTGTCTTTACATAATAGGGATGCAAATGCTCAATCGGTCAACACCTAGAAACTTCACGTATTAATTTCAATGCAAATTTGATAAGCTATAGAATGTTTGCTCTATCTAATTCTGGTCTTGAAGTTGTCATACAATTATTGTTTCTAGTTTGGACTTTGGTCACTTGGTTCAAATTTGTTGTTGTTTTTCAATCTGTTAAATTTGAATTGGTTCTCTGGTTGTTACTATATATGCATCTATATTACTTGGTGTTTGTTGGTTACACAAGGATCTTGGCTTTGTTTGTTGGATCAGTCCCCATTTTTTTTTTGTCCTTGGTTGATTTGGTGCTTACTTTAGCTTTTCTATTTGACTACTAGTAGAGTTTGACTATAAGATAATTTAACCTTTTTTAGTTTTCTTTTATTGTTTTACTTAAACTAAGTTGTTGTTTGATCTAGTTGTGTACATTATGACTTTTGTTCTCTTTCCATAGGTAGGGTCCATGGACTAAGGAGGAGATTATGTTTTATAGTCTCAGGTACTTCCATTGATGAAGGATGAGTCAATGGGGGAGTCTTCCTTTGTCCAAGGATCTTGGCACACCAAGAGTTTTTAGTCTTCAAGGATGGAATGGATGGTCAAGGTGAGAAGGTAGGAGGCCATGAGGGTGGATGCTCTCATGGAAGGTTGGCACACTTCAAGATGAAGGTGGAGGCCACTCTAGGGTTTCCACTCTCCAAGGGTGAAGATAGGAGTAGGTTATCCGAATTTAACCTAGGGACTAAGGATAAGATTTTGAGGCATGAAATGTTCACTCAATATCATAATAATCCAAAGTATTTACAATGTGGATGGTCTAGGGTATTTATAGGGGAAGGAAGGGAATTTAAGGTTGCAAGAAGGTGCATGGCCGAGAAATGCAAGCAACATGCACTCCAAATGCAACCTAAATTAACCCTAAATGTGGTGTGGTTGTCCTTCCCTCCTAAAGACTAAAATAAAATACCCTTTGACCTAAAAATAGAAAGAAAAAAAAAAGGTGGACTTTGACCTTACAAATCAAGGCTTAAGCCCAAAATAAATCCTAAGCTAATTTGCCCCAAAATACAAAGGCTAAATGAAAATACAAAATAAAATCCTATCATCTAAAGTACCCCAAAATATAAGGGTAAAATGGGAACAAAAACAATAAAATCCTATACTACTCAAAATAGGCCTAGGAGAGGGTCAATACTCCACACTCATGATGAGTATAGCTCTAGGCATGGTGACTCCTCCATCTTCATCCATTCTCCTAGCCATGGACCTAGTAATGGGCCCCACATGAAGTTCCAAGAGTGGTCCTCCATCAGGTTCAATCTCACAAATAGGAAAATGATAATGAGGATAAAAAGGTGCAATATATTCTATATTTTTTGTTTATGAGTATGTTTGTTCTAAGAAGCTATGGAAAGTATGTTTTATCTAATTATTTTTATTATTTGAGTTTCTATGGATGAACTCTGTATATTTTGGGTTGTCTAATCTATGAACAATATGTGTTTTGTGGAAATTCTACCACCAATATTATATGTAAATATTTGGCTACATGGCTTTGTTAATATCTTGCATGTAAAAATCTATATGAATTAAGAAGACTAAACAATTTTAAAATACTAATTGTATTATATATCTATTATTTTGATTGAGAAGGTTGTTTGGTGCATGAATTACTTCTTTTATGCATTTGTTAGATATTTGTTTGAGAAGGCTGAGCATTTTTGCTTGATAGATATAAATTAGTTAAAAGCTTATATTATTGTACAATTTGTAGTGTAGTTATTCAATGTTCTAACATGAGTTATGATTTTTGAATGTGTATAAATTGAGAAAGTCTGATTTTAGGAGTTACACAAATTCCCCTATTTTTTCATTCCTAATTCACCAAGTATGTGATGGACTAAAGTAATATCATTACATAGAGTCAGGGCTTTCTTGAATTTCTTGTTACCTATGTTGTAGGTTGACACCAAGTTTATTAAAGTCATATCATTCAGGTAATGACATACATAATTCATAGTCATATTTTGTTATGATCCTTTCTTTTTGGATATTAGCACATAAGCCCCTTTGGAGTGGCTTTTCCAATGAATCTTATATTAGAAATTTCATTTATTAAGATGAACTTTTTTGTGGATATTCAAGAAAATATGTCTAGACTAACAATGAATCTTACAATAGAACTTTCATTTATTGAGATGAACTTTTTGTGGAATTTCAAGCAAATGTGTCTAGACTAACAAGCACCGATATGAACCACCACTCTATTTTCATCTAATATCCAATTTTCCTACGTCAAAAACAAGAGTTTGGTGTAATCTAGGTAGTTGCTAAGTTCCTAGAATGATGACATCATAAAGAAACTCATAAACTAATTTTATTTGAAATTTTTCTACTTGCCAACATGCAAGTCTGCTTTGATATGAAGGATTCCATTTCATTCACATAATGATATTGCTTTCCATATGCTATCTGCATCTTTTCTTTGACCAATTTTATTTTCTGCAATGTCAAAGTTGAGTAAAAAATAAGGCTTTTTAGTGTCAAGTGTCAACTAGTTAAATAATATTAATGTTAAGGTCTTTAAATTAAATTGTAGTAAAATAATAAGAGATTAATAAAAATTACATGATATATAGGTACAAATGGCTATAAGAAATCCAAATTACATTTATTAGAAAATAAGTAAAAATGAATGATAATCAAATCAGATTTGAATGATTTGATATTGATTTTTACCTAAATCTTCTAGAATTAAGAAGAATAAAATCAATTTGAATTTGAATAATTTGATTTTGATCTTAATTATCTAAATACCATAAAAGCATTAATTATAAATCCTAATTTGAAATTAAAAAAAATGCATATATGTCAACATAATTATAAAAAAAAGTCAACTATTTTAAATAATATGACATTTTATGAATGATTTACATTATAAAAAAAACTATTAACAATTGGTGTATTCTAGTTAAATTCATGCTACTAACATATCTCATTCTCCTCAGGCAAGGATCTAGGGCTATTCTCCTTCAATTACTTCCATAAAATTAATAAGAATAATAGGAATATCTAAGTAGAACAAAAATTATATTACAAAACCACTTTAAAAAAAATAAAAATAAATCTAAATCTCTATTAAGAGAAATAATCCTAAATCTACTTTAGATGTTGTCGTAATCCGAAAAATTTTAATCTTACGACCAATAGTTTGACTACCTTTTTTAGAAAATCTCATTAATTAAGGAATGTCTGGAAATCAGACTAATTCTTAATTAATGATTTTGAAAAATGGTTCATAGAGTCGCCACTAATGTTTTGCTCAAAACATTGGAAAAGGAAAAAAATTTGAAAAGTCCAATAATAGCCTTAATAACCAAAATTGGGTTCGAAGTCGGTTATGTGTAAGGAAGGTATTAAGCACCCCTATAACATCCTAGATCGGTACCCTGTGATGAAGTTAACGTGATAAGAATTAATGGATTAAATATTAGATCCCCTTTATTAATAGTTATTTACATGCTTGAAATTTAAATTACATGGTTGATCCTAAGACTTCTAGATGATGATTATTTATTTAGAACAATATTTATTAAAGTAAAGGAGATAAGGGAGAGAGAAAAATATTAGTTGAAATATACCTCTTAATCGAGCTCTATTTGATCTTCAAACTTGGGGATCCCTAGGTGTTTTTTGGCTGCCTTTCACACTAAAATATGCCTCACAGAATCTCAAGAAATACAGGGGGGGAGGAGAGAAAGATATTTTGAATTATATCTGTCGTAACCTAAAAAATTCTAATCTTACGACCAATGGTTTAGACTACCTTTTTGAAAAATCTCATTAATTAAGGAATGTTGGGATACCAGACTAATTCTCAAATAATGGTTTTAAAAAATGAGTTCATGGAGTCACGACGAGTGTTTTACTCTAAACATTGAAAAAAGAAAAGATTTTGAAATTTAAATAGAGATCTTCAGAGCCAAAATTGGGTTCGGGAGTCGGTTACTTGTAGGAAATGTATTAGGCACTCCTACAACACCCTAAATTGGTACCCTATGATGAAATTAGCATAATAATAAATAAAATTTTAAATATCTTATCCCCTTTTATTATTTAATATTATTTACATGACGAAAAATACCTATTATCTACATGATTATTTATTGGTATATAAGAATTATAAATAAATAAATAAAATGATAAATAAAGAAATAAAATCATAAATGAAATAATAATAAATAAAATAAGTAAAAAGAATAAATAAAGGAGAAGAATTTAGAACCTCAAAAGCAAGCCTTTTATAAGGGAATCTTCCCAAATGCGTGTGGGGCCCATTTTGGCAGCCTTTCGCTCTACAAAAACCTCACTATCACTCAAAGGTTTATTTAGAGAGAGGGGGAAGCTATGCCGCCCTTTCCTTTTTATCCCTTGACCAGAGGGTTTCTTATATAGCCAACTAAGACAAAAACATAAGAGAGTTATCCGATGTGGGACTAAATTTTATAAAAATATCATCTTTTCCTAGGCACCATGCAGGACCTCTAGAGAACTCGTTAACCGTCAGATTGTGCTGGTTTTTTTATTGTATCCTCACAATATATTGATCTTCAATTTCAACGGTTGGATTATTGAAATTAGTTTTTTAGTGAGAGATACTATCATAACAAAAACGTTGTCTGGTACAGGATTCATATTTTCTAGCTGCAATGCGAGGCCTCTAGAGAAATCATTAACCATTTAATCATGCTAAAACGTTAATGATATATTCTTAAGACATTGATCTTTAACTTCAAATGTCGGATCCTGAAAATTAGGTCTTTAGAGGGAGATATTATCATAACCAAAACGTTGCCTAACGGAAAATTTTCTAGAAAGCGGAATGGGCCGTTCTGGTTGCGGAACTGGTCATTCTGGTTTCGGAACGAGCCGTTCCAACATTGGGAATGACCCGTTCCAATTTGGGAATGGTTGTTCCATGCTCCATATTAGTTTTCTTGAGTTTTTTTGGGACTTTCAGAGCCATCTTGGCCCATTTAGGTGCTCTATTGGGCCCTCAGGTGCCATACATACTGTTTTTTTCCAGCTACAATGCGAGGCTTCTAGAGAACTCGTTAATCATTAGATCATGCTGGAATTTTGATAATATATTCTCAGTACATTAATATTTAATCTCAACGGTTGGATCGTCAAAATTAGTTTTGCAACGAGAGATGTTATCATAACAAAACTGATGCCCAACGCGTTGGTCCCCTAGAGGGTTGTTTGTCTCGCTCTTGTAGACCTTTATCCTTGGTTTGGGTACCACGGACGAAATTAGGTGTCTACAATATGAGACTTTCTAGACGAATCTTTTTGGTCCTAGGAGCAGTGCTTGAGTATACTATTTATAGATGTTAGAACTGACCAGAATGACTCATTTTGGATCAGTTCGTTATGAGTTAAATTTGAATCTGGAAAGACCGATTCCGGTGCCAGAATGGCCCGTTCGAGATTTGAACTTGACTCATAACAAACTATGCTGGAACGGCCCATTCTAGCCTATTCTCAGCTAGGGTTTTCAAGCCTTTTAGTAGTTTGGAATGACCCGTACTAGTTTTGGAACAACTTGTTCTAGGCTATTAAATCAAACTTATTGGGCTTTAGGCCTTTTGATGTCATATCATTTTGTTTCCTTGTTGCTGGAGCTCCTTTCCTTTATAATAGAAGTCTATTACTTTGTTTAGAAGTCCGGAAAAACATAGGTGTCTATAACTGTCCCTCTTTACTTGCCCTTTGGGATAGCTAGGTGTTTACTTTTTCAAAGGCAAGTAAAGACGTAGACATTTCATCGAGGTCTTCTCTCTTGCTTTGATATTAGATACCTCCACGTTGTTTCCTTTGGGTAGATGATGTTTAGTTGTACCCTTACCCCCTATAGCAACTGAGTGTTGGTGAATGCTCCATGAGGTGTAAAGGGTGGTAAACTACGCCATCTAGGCCTCTAGCTTGGTGTAGATACTTCCTACTACTTCTACTTGTCCCATGATAGTGTGATCTTTATTCGTAGCTCGATGATGAGGGAGTATGTTCTAAGCTCAGCCTCTCTAGGCTAGACTGATATTTGAGGCTTCAGCCAGCCCAATCCAAGTCGAGTGCTAGTTTTGGAGGTCTAGCAAATAGGGGTCATCCCAAACATAATATTTAGCATCACTCTTAAGTTTATCAATTTGAGCAATGCTAAAGGAGGAAAAATAGAAGCAACCAAATAATTTACAATATTTGCAAACCAAGGGGTTGGGGAAGAAACAAAAATAGTCAAAAAATGTTCATCAGGAAAATCATCATGAATGGGAAAAGTACTCTCATCCTCAACTCTCTCAATCCTGTTGAGATGGTCTGCCACCAAGTTTTGTGCTTTGCTCTTGTCACGGATGTCCAAGTCAAATTCTTGAAGCTAGAGCATCTATCTTATCAGCCCAGGCTTTGACTCAGCCTTCTTCAATAGGTACTTAAGAGTTGCATGGTCAATAAAGACAACAACACGAGAACCAAGCACATATGACCAAAATTTATCAAGAGCAAAAACAATAGCTAACAGTTCTTTCTCTGTGGTCGTGTAATTTGCTTGACCAGC